GCACATAGAATAAACTTGAGACACACATAGAAATGGGGTGTGGGGTGGGGGAGAATTCACTTAGCCATCACTTACTTAGAGACTCACCAAACCTTCACCACCTTCATCACTTGTACCTTCTTATTTCACATACAGTGAAGTGGTTTATGGCTGGAAGAAGTGGTAGACCTACGAATGCCAGTAATAATTCTGTGGGATCAGGCTTCAAATTTTAAATCACTTGATAACCTGCTTTCTTCTGTATTTTGACTAATTTCATTTTGGAGCCTGGACTTCTGCTCTTATGACTTAGTTAAAGCAAAACAAAACAAAATATGTGGGGGGTAAAAATGGAAGAAAATATAACAATTTTAGCAATTTTTATCTCTAATTGGTTAAATTTTTAACATTTAATATACATTGTAGTTTCAGAAGTAGAACTCAGGATCAAGGCCAGAGATGGGTTCTGAAAGTCGTTCACACAGAATTACTGAGGATGTCAGAGGGGACTGGCTCACCAAGGGAGAGGATGTATACAGAGAGAGAGGTCCAGGAGCAGAATCTGGGGAAAGCTCCCCCACCCCCGCCTCTGGCTAAGGGCCCCTGCAAAGGGAAAGACGGAAAGCAGGGGGAGAGGCAGGGTCTGTCTACTGCCATTTAGATCTATGAGCCCTTTCCTCCTAATTACTCGTCAGTCGTCTAAACAGAGCCCTTTGGCTATTTTGTTCACGTCTTTTACTATGGATTGAATCGTGTCCCCACCCCCAAATTCATGTGTTGAACCCTAACCCCCAATGTGGTGGTATTTGGAGATGAAGCCTTTGGGAGATAATTAGGTTTAGATGAGATCATGAGGGTGGAATCTTCATAATGGGATTAGTGCCCTTAGAAGAAATATCACCAGAGAGCTTCCTCTCTGTCTCTCTCTGCCATGTGAGGACATAACGAGAAAGCAGCCACCTACAAACCAAGAAGGGAGTTCTCACCAGAACCTGACCACCCTAGCACCCTGATCTCAGACTTCTAGCCTCAGAACTGCGAGAAATAAGTTTCTGTTAAGTTTATAGTGTTTTGTTACAGAGCCCAAGCTAATGCACCTTCAAAAAGATTTTTGGATAATCTTTACACATATTTAAATTGATATTTTATATTTACTATCATGTTTAAATAGCTGCAAAGAATGTAATTTCCAGCCTTCTGTAAAAGTTGACATTAAAAATAAAACTGGAACCTCACTATTTTAAATTTCTCCCATAGAATACAAATGTCATAGTAATAGATACCCACCGTAGTATGTTTTTTTCATTTTTCAGTTTTATTAGGTAGAATTGTTACAATTTGACTGCACATATACAATATATTGCATGTAAATACATATACAATATACTGCACATATTTTTTAATTTACATATATGTACTGGTCATTGTTTCCTTTTTAAACTTACATAGTTACCAGAGGAATAAAGCCAACCACAAAATAAGAATCAACAGAATGCAGTAATCCAATTATAAAGGACAGTCAAATGTGCTTATACATATTCAAGAAATTAATCATCTAAGTTATAAATTATAAGTAGTTCATTTGTGTCCTTTTTTTTTAGATTCCACATATAAAAGCTGTCATATGGCATTTTTCTTTCTCTTTCCAGCCCACTTCACTTAGAATGACAATCTCCAGGTCCATCTATGTTGCTGCAAATGGCATTATTTTATTCTTTTTTATGGCTGAGTAGTATTCCATTGTATATATATACCACACCTTTATCCAGTCATCTGTTGATGGATATTTGGGTTGCTTCCATGTCTTAGCTACAGTGAATAGTGCTGCTATGAACATTGAGGTGCATGTGTCTTTTTGAATTATGTTTTTCTCCAGGTATGCTACAAAGCTATATACTGTTTTGATTACTGTAGTAAGCCCAGGAGTGGGATTGCTGGATCACAGGGTAGTCTATTTTTAGTTTTCTAAGGCACCTCTGTACTGTCCTCCATAGTGGTTGTACCAGTTTACATTCCCACCAACAGTGTAGGAGAGTTCCCTTTTCT